GGGCATAGTAACAATATTTATTATTCTACATTTATACATTTTAGGCAACTAAGGCAAAAATGTAATTAATTTAGAAAGTCTTTTCATGACCCCACCTTGATGTTTCAGGACCCCACTTTGGGTCCCGACCCCAACTTTGGGAACCACTGCTTTAGCTCAGTATTTTCTAGTTCAAACCAGCTGTGACGTTTTGTGATTCACCACAAAGACCCCACCCTACAAATGATCCTGACTTGGTGTCTGATCAGAGAAAGACAGAAATGTAAAAGTAGAGGGGAGAATAAAAACATTAGAACTTGGGTTTTGCATTAGAGGTGAAATAAAAACTAGCTTTTGATTATGGCTATGAACAGACGACATTCTTACACTCCCAGGGTGAGTAACATGAGCTCATAAAATTAAGAAAGGAATTCTTTAACATATATATAGATGCTTGTATTGATATATTTGATTCATAGTAAAAAGTAATTGTGATATGTAAAAAAAATTGTTGTACTCACCATTCAGCTTATGGGATTTCATCTTTGTGCTTGTTTTCCTTTAATCGGATCAAAACTTAAGATTAGATTTTAGTTTCAGGTGTAAAATTTTAAAGGTGTCTGTTTAAAACTGAGATAAAGTTGCTACAATTATAGAAACATCATCATCAGCCTTATCAAATAGTTTTCTGCTGGCTAATTTAAACCAGCATGTGTCCTGACAGACTCTCATAAGGAACAGCCTCTTACCACAGACCTAGTTTGTGTTGAATAACTGTCTTTGTCTGAGTTGTTGCTACTTTATTAGAACGTTTGTTGTTTACCAAGACATATGACCGGGTCTGTGTGTGCGCCTCTGTGTTCTGCACCCTGAGGACTCTCCTGTTAAATATTTTGACTTATGAGACCGAACGGAAATGGTCATCTTTAAAATTATAAAAGCCTATAGTGTTCATTTTGCCCAATTTTGAAAATGTTAAACAGAAATTCATAAAATGAATTCAAGGCTTGGCATTATTTAAAGTGAATTTAAGAGAATACACATCATTCTGCAGCTTCAATGTTAGAGATTTAAACTAAGATGAATTTATGTTGGAAATTGATGGAATTTTATTCATTTCGATTGAATCTTAAAAAGTGTTATGTGCCATTGCACACGATATTGAGTAACCTTGTCTTCCTCCTCCTTTCATCTCATCTCACATTCTTATTGTTCTTTTTGTTTATTCCCATGTTTGATCATTTCTACATATTCCATCTCATCTGTACCAGCTGACCAGCCCATTGATCAGCAGAATGAGCAGTGGAGGAACAGTGGAGAGTGTTAAAACTCCAAAGGTAAGTTTATTTATTTCTCCTATAGAAAATGTGCAGAAATGTGTAGCTTTATCAATTTCTGTCAACTAACGAGTTCATGATAACCCACAGTTCCTTGTCGTCTCATTGCCTCTAAGGTCGGCTCCATAGTCGAGGTGACAGGAAAGGGTCAGAGAGGGACGGTGGCCTACATCGGCGCCACCCTCTTTGCCTCGGGAAAATGGGTGGGCGTCATCTTGGATGAGCCTAAAGGCAAGAACGACGGCACGGTGCAGGGGAAGCGCTATTTCACCTGTGAGGAGAATCATGGGATATTTGTCAGATCCTCTCAGGTTAGTGACGTAATGAGAAATGTGTGTTGTTAGAAGTCTGATTTTGTTGTTTAATTTACAAAAGTGACATACTTGTATCATCAGTATTTGTGCATAGTTCTACTCTAACATGACCTGGACTGTGTGGACTCTACAGATCCAGGTGGTGGATGAAGATCTGGGTAGCACCTCCCCAGAGACCCCCGAGTCCAGCGTGGCAAGGACACTCAAACAAAAGGGTAAGTATCGGGGTCTCTGACAGCTTTGTTTTAGAAACAAAAAAGTGATAAATATTAATTAAAGCTATAATTTACTGTTTTTACAGATGTTTCTGAGACTCCCAAACCAACCAAGCAGGTAAAAACTGCATCTTTAATTTTAAATGATTTTGTTTATTTAATTTTTTTCTGGTTTGGTTTGAAAGTCGTGGATTTCTGTATGTTGTTGTTTGTGTGCTGGAACTTTAACACTGATCATTCACATATCCAATATTAAATGAAATTGAGACATTTTAACCCATTTTTGCAGAGATGCTACATAAAACATGCTAATCAGAAAGGGCTGGAATGATGCCAGTTTTTTTTTTACTAACTTTCTTTTTCTTTTTTAAATTTTGTTTCCTAGTTTTTGTCTTTACCTTTTTGTTCTATAAGAGATGTATAATTTATTTATCTCTTGTTTTTGGGTTGACTTTTGTTTTTCTGAACACCTTTTGCAGACACCATCGAACATTAAGAAGGTACCGATAATTAAATTTAACACTTTTGCTTCACCGAGGTTGTCGTACATCTCACTAACGTGGCAGCTCGTCTTTTGCTTTGAAGTGTCCCTGTGCGTTTTTTTTTTTTTGGCATTTCCACATAAAATCATTAACTGCCACAAGCATATTATTTTGCTGCATATTCTTTTGTTTGCACTTTTTTTTCTTTGACATTTTAATTCTGGTGAAGGCATCCTGTGCACACAGAAAACATGATGGGTTGTCATTACTTGTGCATGATTTCATTTTTTTCTGTTCCTTAAATGATCAAAATGAACTTGTTTGAAAGGGTGCTAATTGATGCATGTAACATTCAACCAGTCGGTATAAACTAACAGTGAGATTCTTTCCTGCTGCTAAACTATTCTTGTACTTCATGGCTGAATGGGTTTTCTTGCCTGCGTGTGCGTTTGAATCCATCCTTCTTTCTCCAACCCACTTCCTCCTCCTCAGTCCTCGACCCACCGCTTTGCAAAGGTGAGCTTGTTTACTGGAAATGGGAGCAGAGGTTAAAGTGCATGTTGTTTATAACTGTTTGAATTTTTTTTTTGTTGTTTTTTTGGGAAAAAAAATTTTCATTCAGGATATGTGGTTTTGACATTGACTACAAAGTGAATCAATGGAAGTGACAATTAAAAAACACAAGGATAAATCCATAATGAATAAACTTACAAATCCTCCTTTTCACACAGATTGCTCTGCCAAAATTACAAACACAACAGACAAAAAGAGAACGATTTTGAATGACTCCACTTTGTTAAAGTGTTTAGTTGTAGAAGAAGTACAGAACACAGCAAGCTGAAAAATATCCTGTCACTTTTATCAGCAGAAGCAGAGATTGTAGACTAATGAAACTTACTTTTTTAAATATACTTTTTAAACTTGCAATACTTCTCAGCCTTTGTACACTTAGTTGTATAACTGACCTGTAGTTAAATCGGTGTGAATTGAGTAATATTATTTTAACTCACTGGTTAAACAAACCTGGTCTAACCCAGTCTCTGTGATCACTCTGTGGCAGTGGAGTGCTCCACGCCTCGCTCCTGCTACCTCCCTCCCCTCCCTCCTGCTTCGTCCCCCCATCCGCACCAGCCAGATGCTCCGGGTACGCTCTGAGTCAGAAAGCCTCTCGGCTCACCTCTTGAGAAGGTGGTGGGGAAAAAAAACACAGATGAATTTGTTTTCCTCTATGGCACAGGTGCTTTGGAGTCTGCGGGAACTTAAATGGCATTTGGTGTGGATGTAATTTCTACTGGAAGACACAGCAAACCAAAAAGATTTTCACTAAACATTTTGTAAATCTTTCAGTCTTTAATTCTTTTTTTCAAAGAATGTTATCTCACTGGGCTGCGACTGTTGGTGATGAACTGCAAATGACTGTCACAAGGTTGTTTCCAAAAGCTCTCAAGGCTTCCATAGAGGATGTCAGTTTCCTTGTGTGAGTAGCAGGGCCCTGCTCACCAGTCTCTGGAATTTTAAACTTGTTCAAAACATTTACAAAACAAATATCTTCTAAAATAGTCACAGTGTTGTTGCAGCATGTAAAGATTTTGTCTAATTGTTAAAAAAAAGTTACCTTTTTGACAGTTAGTCTTGTTTTCACTTCCAAATTAAAATGTCTATAAAACAAACAAAAAAAAAAACAATTTGATTGATTGAAATGTTTTATTTTGAACACATTTAAATCCTTCAATAATTAATTAGATTCAAGAAATAAGAGCCAAACAGACACTACTGAAAACATGACCTCCTTGGCAAAAGTAATAAACAATTTTTTAAAGACCAAAGAGACTAGTGTTGTAGTCATGACCACCTACCCCAAGACTGAGACAAGACTAAGACCAGAGTGAATTGGGACTGAGTCAAAACCAAGACCAGAATGGATTGAGACCAGAGTGTACTGAGAGTGAGACCAGTGTACTGAGACAGAGACAAGCTCAAGACCATAGTGTATCAACTTCGAGACCAGAGTGTATTAAGACCGTGACAAAACCGAGACCAAGACCAGAGTGTCTTAAGACCAGTGAGACTGAGACAAGACCATAGAATAAAATAGAATAGAATAGAAACAACCTTTATTGTCCCACGTAGGGAAATTCAGGTGGTGTAGTAGCAGCAGGTACATACATCAATTCACAAAACAGTATGTTGCTATGTGACAATATCAATTTTAGCAAAAAATAAAAGAATTAAAGATAGTAACAATAAAAATAAACATAGATCAAAATGAAAATAAGAACAATAATTACTGTACAGGACTGTCAGAGTATTAAGACCAAGACCATAGTGTATTAAGACTGAGACCAAGATCAGAGTGTATAGAGACTGAGACAAGACCATAGTGTATTAAGACCAAGACCATAGTGTATTAAGACCAAGACCATAGTGTATTAAGACCAAGACCATAGTGTATTAAGACCAAGACCATAGTGTATTAAGACCAAGAC